CCCCAAAACCCCAAAACCCCAAAACCCCAAAACCCCTTTATTTTCAAACATTTTTGAAATTTTCTAAAAATGGGAGGAAAATCAAGACCTTCAACAGCCGGAGCAGGAAGAACAGCAGCTCTTCAGGACCACGAAGTGGTCCTGAAGCAGATATTAGCTCCTGAGTTCATATCTTCAGGGTTGAGTTGGGCAAGATCCATCTCACAGAAGGAGAAACAAGGCTTAAGAATACTTAAAGCTGTTATGAAACATAGAGGTCAGAAGAAGTTTCGAGCCAAAGCAAAAATGCCAGAGGAAGCGCAGAAATCTCTTATGGCTCAATCAGCACTGAAGTTAGATCGTCATAATTTAGAGCAGTATAAATAAAGAATACAAGCAGGGTTTGTTTAAATCTGCGTACGGAAACGCCTTTGGGAGAAAGGAATCAGACTTAGCTGGTACAGGAATTTTGTCTCATAAAAGATTTTCAGAGCTCCCTTCCTGTAAAGTTCTTAATACAACAGCTAAAGCTTATATAAATCGTTGGGTTGACTCTGGAGAAGATCAAAAATATGTCAGCTTAGCGATAGTAGTTGTCAAGGGCATTTTTACTCATTGGAAAGAAGCGCTTCCTTCTGATACAGTGAGTCATCTGAAACATGCTTGGTATAATTCCCATGATATTGTTCATTCTCAGACTATGGAAAAAGCAAGCAAATCTGTCATCTCAAGTGGGTTTTCAAACACAGCGAGGAGTGAAAGGCCTCAGACAAGTTCCAATATGTTTGAGAAAAAGGGGAAGGAGAGCTTAATCCCCAACAGAACTCAAAAATATGATAAAGGAATGGACAAAGTGATCAGTGACAGGAAAAAGTTGCTTTTAAGAGGCAATGGGAATATAACTGGGTTCTACCAAGACCCTTTAGGAATGGTTTCTTCTTACCAATCCAATTATCAGACAACCAAGGATATGAGTACTATCAAGAAAACTGCTGGGAACAACTATATCTCTTCTATAATGGTTGTCACACCAGATCCAGGTCAACTTGCTAAAGTTGGACAAAAGCAGAACAAGTTTAAGAAAGATGTAAATTCTGCTACGAAAAAACTAGCCAAGACTGAGTCAGCCATGAAGCAAGCAATGGGAAGAATGATGGAATACCAAGAGTACCCAGAGTATCAACCTTCAAGAGGGAGTTTGGGAATGAGAGTTGGAAATCCAAACTTCCAAAGTACTCCTGAAGGTTTTCCTATGAGACCAGCACGTGGTATGAACCCTTATAGGCATTTAAAAACCTCAGGATAAGAAATTTGGTTTAAAAATATGAATTTTTCAGTTAATAATTCGATAAAAGGGGTTTTGGGGTTTTGGGGTTTTGGGGTTTTGGGGTTTTGGGG